ACAAATCATTTTATGAAGTTACACGATCTTTAATATTTATTTTCATATATGGAAGTCATGTGCGAACACAAATATGCATCCTATTTAACTTCCTTCGCCATCTTTATCTGTTAAAAAGTAAACATACGACCGTAAATACGCGAGTCCTGAACATTGTACAAACAAACCGATAAGTAACAAGTACTTATATATATTTCAACAGTGTTTATTTCTCGAATCAATCCTTATCAATACCACGAGGTTCAGTCTGTCGCGTGTTACTTGTCAGGATCCACCACGAGTCCACTGCCCCGCGATGTTATTACAATTTAATATTTAAATCTACCCTCGTAACAGTGTACTATGGAAGAGAGTAAGGTGATTGTGTTACTAGTATATATGTGTTATAAATGTTTTTGTTAGTGGTGTATTGTGATGTGGTCCGAGGAGGCGGGTCCCTCCCGGTCGCCGGCCGAGCGCCGACCCTTAGTGTTAGGTCTACGTGTACCAAGAAGTTATGGAAGTGTCTTCCCATATTACAAGTTCGTGAAGGATACGCTTAGAGAACCTGGATTGTGTGAGGTACATATAGCTTTGTGTAATATAATGTCAATGTCATCATTTGACGGACACTTTGTGTAATTTATTATAGACATTATTTTATACGATTCTTATAGTATGTTATTTGGAAGTTTAGACTATATTGGGATATCGACTTACATTTTCTAGTTGACGTAGCTAATATGGATGGAGCGTTAGTAGAAACGCTGATGATCGGTGAAATTGTAAAACAACATATTCCGTTGGCCGGTTTCCATTTATAGCTGGCGCCAGCTCAGCCTGTTGTAACTTAATGCTTATATCATACTTACGTACGGAGAAATTAATTTAGGAATATTTCATATAATTTATAGTAAAAATAATTGCATGTTTACAAAATATAGCAAAGATTCACAGCTGCTACAGACGCTCAGTTATAACTGACACTTTTTACTGAACAGACAAACTATGCGTGTGTAGGCAAAACTTTAGCTGTATAGTTCAACTTTTAAAGTTATAAGCTGCAGAAATTTTGACATGACACTCAATTTACGCATATTAAATGGTACCCATATTTCAAGCGACAGTTATCAGTAGACGATTATCGATAGAGACTTTTATCACAAATGATATAGGTATTCTATACTGTATCGATTCGAGTATCGAATCGGTGCACATCGATCACTATTTCGATAGTCATTCATTGTGTTATCGCGAGTTGTTTATTGATGTTTAGTTGGCAGAGTTACCGTCCCCTGCTATTAGCATAGAAAAGATTGGCCGATTGGCCGCCGAGTGTTGCTCTAAATACCGATGAATCTTATCCAAATGAATTTAAATGCTCACTCATTCATTAATATAATCTCGCCCAAAGATACGAAGTAATTGTTGCAATTTCCTATAACAAAAACTGACGACAAACGTGTAAAAGAATATGTACTTTAAATCACATCTCTTATTACTCTAAAGCAGTGATTCCCAAAGTGGTCTATATCGACCCCTAAGGGGCTATGAGAACCTGCAAGGGGTCTACGTCAGCGAAAAACAATTTGGGGGTCCATAAAATGAAAATTGGACTCCACGATAGTGGATCTCAACACATACACTGATAGTATCTATTTATTTAAAATTTTAATTTGAATATCAGGTAATTAGGAGATCTACCCAACACGGAAAAACATGGCAAGGGTCTACGGCACAAAAAAGTTTGGGGAACTCTGATCTAAAGGTTGATTATTCTCTTTGATACAAGACGCTGCAAATTTTCCAGTTACTTGTAAGACCTTGCCATGAAGTTATATCAGCACAAACTGTACACTGCTTTATATTTATACCTCCATATATTATAGAGCATGTGTAAATGAAGCAATAAAGGTAACGCGTTATCAGTTAATTTTGTTTAAACTATGACTTGATACTGCATAAACCCAGAAGTTAATCCTTTACATAACATAATCGCCTATAAGTACGGTCATATGGCCACTGGATCGCCAATAGAATTCTAATATAACACGTGTATGGTGATGTTCCAGTTTTTATTACATAAATGATATTGTTTAGTTAATTAGCATTATTTGAGCTGCGGTATTGAAATGCTTCGGGCGGCGTCATTTATTAGGACCTATGGCCAGGTATTTTTATATAATTTGCCTTGTATTGAAATTTTAATAGACTGATCAGTAACTCGTATGCCTACTTCTGTTATAATTTATATTATTGTTAATTTTTATATGGTTTTAAGATTTTTAATTCGGTTTTTCTCTTGTCACGTTTTTACGTTTTTATTGTATTATCTAAATGTACTAATAAATTAAATTTAAAAATCTATTCTTATAATGTAAGGAAAATATACCAAAATCTAAATGCACACATGCTGAACGCAACAAAATGTTAAACGTGAGATACATATTTTAAAACGAGGTTATTAAACGATTAACAAATATTTCTTATATTTTTGAATATTATCTTAGTTTTGACATATGAAGAGATTTAGAATAATTTAATAAACAATAGTCTTTTCGAATAACCTAAACTTCGTATTGAAGACAAAGAAATGAATGGAGTAGTTGTTATTAAGGAAATATAAACGGGCAAAAGCATTGAAATATAATTGAAAGATATGCGTTCTAAGAAGATGCAAAAGGCACAGTGTTCCCAGCGCAGTTGCGCGGCTGGACGCAAGGAATCCTGTAACCCGTTATTCTTTTTACATCGCGCACTCGGCGGATCTTAACCTCTAATCGTTTTTGTTATTTTTCATTATAAATAGACGGATCCGGTCGGTTACGTGTTGTGGACAGCATGCTCCTTTTAAATAACTCATAGACTTGTTCATGCTAAATAACGTCTTTAGGTTAGGGTCTTACAGGTTAGGCGTATGCAATAAGTGTAATTTAATCCATTAATTCATTCGTTGTTATTTTAGTTTATTAAAATTTTATAGTCATGCCCCTGATAACTTTTTAGTAATGGTTATAATAATGTTTAAATTACATTAAATGAAAACGCACCTCTAGTGCATCGAGATGCATGTAAAATAATAGAAAAACTTAATATTCGTCTTCCTCTTTGCTTGCTTTTTTCTCTTATTCTTATGAATATCAGTAGG